ATGTTAACAATATTGTAGTTACACAACAGAAAAGCCTAATGATGATCCTGCAGTACAGTGCTGTGGTAGTTATGGTTAAAGGATATTTACCGTTTCCGAATCAGGACAACCGAGGAATCAAATTGTTTTTGGGAAAAAAATCCCAAGGATTTCTCAGTCCAACTGTTGATGTTGATACTATAACATTGCTGTATAAATTGAAAGCCATCACTTTTAGTATAAGTATTCACTAACCTGTCCGACATCTGCACAGAAAAAGTACGAAGATTTTTCTGCATCGAAACTGCAACGCCAAGGATTTCTCAGTCCCAAGGCCCAAATTTCAGGCTGCAGATCTTTATCTTCACTAAATGGATTATCCTTTGGGGTGGAGTAGTTACCCCAAAGTCCAAGTTTGCTAATTTCTGCAGCACCTGAAGATTCAAGATAAATGTCATTGCCAAGATTAAGAAAGAAATATACATATGTCTTCGGATTACTGCACTATCATCCAAACATATGTTGTTACATCTTTGAAAAAAATAAAAATGCTGTGACTCTTATAAAAATTACTTATAAGTCACCCATGCGTTGATGTAATATTGCTTGACACTTTATCAAATTAATTTATTTTGGTGAAATAAAGAATGGAATGCTTAGTATGTGGACATGTGGTTAAAGAGCTACATAAGTACATATCCTAGAAACACAGATAACTAATTAGAAATACACACTTGGTATGTTGTCTACATCAAGCCTCATGATCTTTCCAAGCAAGGATTTCTTGTTTTGAGCAAAATTGTACGGATCGCCTGTACTTCCACCATCTCCCATCATAAAGTATAAATACCCATCATCGGGTCGAAAAAGTATCTGACCTCCATGATGAGATGCAAATGGGAGACCCATGGTAAATATTCTTCTCACTTCTGTAGGGCTAGCACTTTCAGCCTGCAAAAAACCTTAATAGTTCAGCTTTATTCATTGACTAGAACTTGTTACAGAAACTAATTTTTGCGTGTTTATAGGTGCGCACCGAGGAAGGCTGAGATGCGGTACCATTAGCAGTGTATTCTGCAATAACAGTTTGATATTGGCATGGTTGAGCACCTTGATCAGTGGCTAGCTTTGATGGATCACAATCAACATCTGAATTACATGAACATCTTCCACTACATCCTGACCACTTGGATTTGTCGCAGTTAAATGAAGCAAAGAATCGACCATTTTTCGCAAAATTTGGATGAAAGGCCAAGCCCATCATTCCGAACGTAGTATCAAAATAAACCTGATCAGTTAGATCAACAAAGGGACTAGCTTCATCAAGCTCCAATGTTCCTCCTGATCCCTCATCTGGAAGTGTTGCTAGCCAAACCTTACCCATTTGATTAGAGAAGAACACACGGTTAGTGCCATCAGGATGCGCCACCATGTTGAGATAAGATCCATTACCAATTTTCTCAAGGCACAAGCCATGTGGAGGAATAATAGGAGTTTCAGTTTTATTTAGTGAAATTGGTACCCCTTCAAAGCATACTGATGAATCATCGGACGTTCCACCAAATGCGTTACAAAAATCGGTTTTGGACTGCCATAATTCAGTTAGTTTGGTTGCATTTTTATCAACTGGTGCACCTCCTGTTTGACCTTGTAATGAAGGGGCAAAAGGAGAGTTTGTTATGGACACAGTTTGACATGTGTCCCACACTTGAGAGCAGAAGTCCTTCACTTCTGTCTTTGACTGGGAAGAATTTGTTGGTATGGTGGAATTACAAAGAACAGGAACTGATCTAGGCGAGGATTTAACTGTATATAGCTCCGCCGAAAATGGGTCGCAACTCTACAAACAAAGGTAGCAAAGAAATGAATGCAGGGCAGAAACTACTATAACTTAACATTGGTTCTTAGTACAGTAGAAATGTTAACATATTGAAAGTTTACTAGTAGTCAGTAATAACTACACATTGATCACTTTACAGGACAAAAGGAAATTCCAGAAAATGTGAAGTGAAAGTTATTTTTTTAGTAACTTTGATTTTATAACTTTGTCTTAGACCCGTTCGCGACCAGGGAGCCTCCAACCACCGAGCAGTCTCATTGTTATTGGGACATCGGAAGAAACAGAAGAGCTACCGCGAGAAAGACCAAAACCTTAGGGAAAGTTTTTGGTTATACACTTTTGCTCATGAAATTTCTGTCTATTCAATGTTCCATTAGTAATAGCTTTAATGAAACTATTTAAAGCCATTACTTTCCAATTTCCTTAAGTGGAAATTTTATTATAACAAAGTTTTCACACAAAGAAACCCATCTATGAGAAATTCAGAAGGTTATTAAGAAACAATAAATGACCAGATATTCATAGCATAAGAGGGTCAAACTTAATATCTTAATCATTACTCAAACATGAAGAACTTAATATTACACTCCTGAAAAAATACACATTTTCTGGGGTATAGTTGTAAATGTATGCTTTTTGAGGACAAAATATCTTACTGCACAAAGTATTGACTTCATAACCAAGGCACAGCTAGGATCAGATATATTCAACCCTTGGAATTGCTTCTTTATTTGTGCATCTTGAGTAAGGTTGCAACACATGCTTCCATTATAAGGACAAAACATGAGTGTTGAATTCAAGGTAAAGGGTGCTCCTAATCCAAAATAATAAACCATGAATATAAATAAGTAAACAGAAAATGAAACTGATGGGTCTGAAAAAGAAAGACTCACTTGAATCAAGGCATAGAGGAAGTGAAAGTGAAGAATCCAAAAGCAGTAGCAACCAAAAAAGAAAGAAGCTTATTGAAAAAACACCTTTCATCTCATCAAACTAGTTTAAAGTTAGCAAAATAAGATCTTTACTTCAAGCCATATACATATACATTTTAGAACATCATCCAAAAAGTATGGTTTTGGAGTAGTTTGACTTGTGAAAAAGTGAATAGAGTTTACTTGAAAAATAGATATATGGGGTGTTGAAATTTTTGGCTGTTGCCAACTACTCTCTATGTGCCTGAATATCCCTTCTACATGCTCTCCTCTTTTTTTTGACTACCACCTATTAAAGACCAATCTCTTTCAATCTTTTGCCACCATTTTTATTTCTATAATAATACAATCATTGTCTTCAACTCCTTTTGTCAATTGGATAGTTATATTTTAAGTGGTACCTGTTCTACTCTGGTACTATTTGTATCTGACTCATCATTTTTTATGTTATTATTAGAATACATTTTTAATGATAAACTTGATAATGATACTTATGCCTATGGGTGGGGAGTAGGATCTGAACCTATTCTACTCACTCATTATGATCCTATCATGATCAGATCTGAATAGGGTCGGGTTTCATTGGATCTAGAGTTGAGTTCAGATTCAAAAATTAGAGACGGGTTAAAGTTCAAAAATTAGACACAGTAATTCGGGTAGGGACCGAGCATTATTCACATTAATATATAAATGTTTAATAATATATATATATATATAATTTTATATGTCAAATTACATATTCACATTAATAATTAATATTTATAAGACTTTATCTAAAATAAAATATTTAATCGGGTCTAGGGTCGAGTCCGAGTTTAAAGGTTGACCCAGTGAATATTTAGGGTCGGGTTAACTTTAGGTCTATTATCGATCCGAGTTCAAAAAGATATTTAATTGAGTCTAGGGTCGGGTTAACATTTAGAGTTGGATAAGAACAAACATTAACTCGTCCCAACCTGACTCATCGGTAAATGAATGAACCATATAAGTAATTCAAAGCTCTCTTAATAAAAGAAATTTCTCTCAACTACTCAAGTTGAAGTCTTCTCAGCTCCTTCCTTGTTCACAAGCTTTTGAGTATCACATCACGTGTTTAAGAGGAGAGAAGAATCAAGGGGTGGATCTTATATGTATATCTGATCCACAATTTGACTTTTCATCAATTATTTATTTAATTAATACAATAGATCCACTAGTTTAAAATGATTGGATTTTATTGTCTGTCAAATATGTTTTTTAAGATTTACTCCCTTTAATTAAAGGAAAAAGTGGCACCATAAAACTTTATGTGGTTTATAAATAAATATGATAACTATTTTTTCTAATTACTTTTTAAACTTTAACTATCGGTAAAATTAGATCATACATTAAAAAAAATGTTATTTAAAACGAATGAATTTTTTTAATTCATGCACTTCTTTAATCCTAACTGTTAATTTTATTTTATTTTTATAAATAATAATATTATTTTATTAATCATTTTTAACTCTATAATTTACTTATTTTTTATTCTCAATCAATTTTGTATTTTGATGATAGTATTATCCCAATAATAACGTTGACCAACATGCATTGTTGTATTTATAGTATTATGAGTTTCATGCATCAATTTCTTTGTTATTTATTAATAACTTAATAATATATTTATAAAAGTGACTAATTTTAATAAATGATAAAGTTTAAGGATACTTTAGGAAGAAAAATAGGCCCACTTGTGAAAATCATAAAGTTTGATGAGCTTTATGCACATCGTAGTAGTTTAGAATAAAAATAACTTATAAATAACCAAAGTTTACCAATCAAATTTTTTCTTTCAACTATATTCAAATCACATAAAAAAGTTACAAAAGAATCAAAAGTAATTTAAATTTATTATAATTTGATTGTTAAAAACTTAAAATATTATTTAAAATGTATAAAGCGAGAAACTCAGCATCCAGAAAACAAGTTGGATAGATCTTGGCTGATTCATTCTCTTTCTATTCAAATTTCAAGGCCAGCATTTATTGCACCGCAAGGGTCAGTCTAATCAATTCTTTAATTATAAAAATGTTAGAGCATCTCCAATCTTTAATCTACATAGAATATATTAAAAATAATTGTACATTTTCTAGTTATCAATTCTTAAAGTATGGTCTAGTTAGGTAACCCAACACTCACTGACTCACTTATAGTTCACACGTTTTATAGACATCTAGATAAATTGGTTCCATATATGCTCACCATATATACTTAGCCAAGCATGCATACTTTTGAAAGTGATTCAATGATGTTTAATTAAGTAACTAATAAGCTAAGGTTTTAACCTAATATGGTTAACATACAGTCAGATAATATCGGTTAGTGGTTCTGTTGATTAAGGTTCTTAATGATGCTCATGATGTTGACCTGATTATTGCTGAAACAATGTTGAATTCTGGATGGTAATGCTCTCTAATTCTTCCTTATTGAAGATCACTCCTTAAATTTGATTCTTGTTGTTTGGTGTTGCCTATTATGCAACAACCATTCTTGTTATTTTGCTTATGTTCATGGTAGTTAAGCTTAGAGATAGCTTATGTCATGGATTGTGAAGCTTTGTTTGCTTCTGCCCATGGTGGTTAAGCTTTGAGATAGCTTCTGCCATAAATGGTTAAGAGTTGTTATCTTCATCTTCTTCAATTCTTTTTCTTAGAACTTGAAGAGTTCATCATTGATCGTTGACCAATTCATCTTCTTCAATTTATATTACAAAGAGCTTGGTAAGGTCATCATTGATTGTTGATCATTCTATCTTCTTCAAATTTGAAGTTATGTTTGGGGAAATTCATGTAATTATTATGCTTGCTTTCATTTTTAAAGGGATTATGTGTAACAAGCTTAAAGCTTAGTAAGCTTTAACTTGAAGGAGAGTATTAAAATATATGATATTATCTTAGAATATCCTAAAAGAATATTAATATCATATATTTGTTTAGAGTATCTTATAAGATTTTTTAGGATATAAATTACTTTATTTTATTTTGTTTCTTATTTAATTAGGAGTACGCTATTAGTATAAAAATGAGTTAGTATTAAGTTCTTTGAGTTATCAAATAAACACAATATCATCATTCATACTTTTATACCTAAACCCTATAATTTTAACATATATGATCTAATTAAATTTAGAATAAAATTATTAAAATAAAAAAAACTCATATTCTTTTTATTCCTTATACTCCATAAGAAAACACTACATCTCCCACATGCGTCTCTCTAGTTGTTCCAATGCATGGAGATTTGGTAAAAGAAATATGATTTACTAATTTTTTAATTAATTTATTTTTGTTTAAATTAATCTCTATTTTAACGTAAGGAGTAAGACAAAGTGTAGGAAATATAATATTAATATGATATCCTTTTTAAATTTACATTATGATCTCTATACTAGTTAAGATTAGCTAGTTGGCTTCCAACCCTTGTCTAAAGCAGAAGAAAAAAAAGCATCTAACTCCTTATTCATATTGAATTAAGTATTCTTATCACAATGAGTCACTTTTTGGGGTTACCACTAAACAAATAGTTCATTAAAATAATAAAAGTGTTTAGAAAGAGTGAGGCATTCACAAATGTGCATACCACAATGATGTATCATGATGGAAGAAACAAACAAAGATATGAAGTAGTTAGTGACAGGTAATTTGAATCCAAACATTATGTGGGTGAACATCCTCTCAACTACCGGAGAGGATAGTGCAACAAAATTAAAAGAAAAAAATAGGATTGTACTGCTTTTATCATTTTAATATAATTGTAATGATATTTCTACAATTACAAGAAAGTGTAAAAGTAAAACAAATCTCTCAAGTATAAAGTTCATAACTCACCACATGCTTGTTGTTGATGTCACACAAAACAATGTCCCTCTTTGGGTTAGAATAATAATAGATTAATAGTGCTTTGTCAAGTCTAGCCACTATTAGCAAAATAGGTATTGCACATGTTTATGTGCCAGCAAACATTTTTAATTTATGTGCTCAATGTAGTCATATAAATGTAGAATATTATGAATGATTCATATCATTATATTAGTTAATAAATTTATATCATTTTCGTTTAGATTTATATATATTAAACTCTAAAGTGCAAGCTACATTTTGTTCTAATCATACAATTATTCAAGGATTGTCACCTCTACAAATAAAAATGCTAGACTTTTTATATTTAATTATTATTTATTATTAATTCATTTATAATTAAGTCACTTAAACCATGTGCAATAATTATTTGGCTAAGTAACACCTAATCACACTTTTTACCACCCCAATTACAATGGAGATCAACTCTCACATTCTTATTATTTAAAGTGTGTCTCAGTTCAATTAAAAGCTGATAACTAATTGAAATGAAAATTAGAAAATAGAAAATATTTTTTTACATTAGTTGATGAAACGTGATTGATTTGGGACATGAAGACATATATATTACCTAATCATGTATTGATTTGAGGAAGCCAAGTTGTCACAATATGCTATTGGGCTTGGCCCATTAAGAAGTAGAAATGATCATTGCAGCATTTGAAAAACAAAAGCTCCCTTAACACATATATATTGGGTGATGCTTCCCTAAGCAACTTATTTAGAAATCTAAACGTTGGAAATGTGTTTTGAAAAGTGTAATACTTGAATTTTTAAAGTCTTGAATGCATCACTTAAAATATATATTTATACCTTGAATTCTTTTAACAAATACTATAAGTGACGAAAAGCAACAAAACATGACACATGAAAATGATACTCGTCCAAAAGAGGAATTGGTTGTATGGAAAAGTAAACTGTAAAAGTAACTGTTAAATATTTGACTTTGGGTGGCAGAATCACTCTTGTAAATTATTTGCTTGTTTATTATTTATCATTTTTCATAGGAAAATTGCTTGGTGAAGTAGGAGTTGTTGTATAAAGAGGAGGGTGGTTTAGGGGTTAAAAGTTTTAGTTAGTTTTAACTTTTCCCTTCTTTCCAAATGGAGATGGTGTTTGTTGGAAGATACAATTTTTTTATGGTTTAGAGTCCTTCATGCTGGATATGGTAATTTTGATGCAACTCAGTTGAAAATGAGTGGTTCTTTCTATTTATGTAGTTCTAGATGATGGATGGATTTGTATAATATAGTGAGTTTTGGTGCTCATGAGGATTGGTTTTTGTCTCGGTTAACTTAATTTTTATGCTCCTTTTGTAGCTAAGTGAATGAAAGTGCTGATTATTTATTCTTTAGTTGCCCTTGGGTAGTATCTATTTTTTTTTGTTATAGTATGCAATCACCTTAATACGGTTAATGAAGTAATCCATTTTAAGATGTGTGATTGTCCTTCCCAATAATTCTCATTCATAAGAATCGAACTATTGACCTTTTTGTCATCATGGATGGTGACAACCTGATGGGGCCAAACATTAAAGGAGTCAACAAGTCCATCAAGCTCACCATCCAACTAGGAGAACCATCTGGTGGAAGCCACCTTTTTAAGACTTAAGGACGTTTTTCTTTACGGGGTCTTATGTCTCAAATTTAAGTTTTTACATTCAATGAAATGTTTATGCAAAACTTGGCATACAATTCCTCCTACACAATAATCAAACTTGGCACAACTTAGGGATAAAATAATTGAATCAATTCACAATTGACCTTTCAATTTGTTCTAGAAGAATAACGTGAATAAAACTTTCAAATTAAAAAGTATATTTTTCTGAGCCAATATCACATAGGAGAAGTGAATGGTGGTGAGGCCCCGCTTCGCTCATGCTATCCATGGCCATGACCATTGTTACTGCTGATTTATTGGATGCAAAGCTAAGGAGAAGTTGTGTCTGACTCCTCTCCATTAATGGAGAGGACAGTCCACACTTAGTAAGATGTAAACACATGACAAAATCAAAACTTAAATGGTTTAGATTTTTTACATTTTCTAAATTAAAAATATTAAGAAACCTCTGTTAAGATATATGGTCACATAAGATGGGGGTGAATTAGGTGTAGAGACTTAAATTAAATTTTTCTACTTTTATTTTAAAACTTTGCAAGTTAAAGATAATTTTTCTATGAGCGGAAGTAATAAACAGAATATTTGAGTAAAAGTAGAAGATAATGCAAAATGTAAAAAGTTAAGGGGAGAGAAGATCACACCAAGATTTATAATAGTTCACCTTCAATTTGAAGGCTACGTCCAGTCCTTCTTGTTACCAAGAAGATTTTTCCACTATTGCAAGAACCAATGATACACCTTCTTCGTCTTCTTCCAAGACTACTCACCTATTCCACTAGACACTAAGCTAACACCGTTCTTTCACAATATACTGCACTTCACCACACTTGGTGAAATGTTAAGATGGTTTTTACAAGGCTTTTGAATAAGTGATTCTCTAATAGTAATTGGTACTTTATGGATTTGAATCACTAACTGAATGATCACTTTAATTTAAAATCAAATAACTTGGACAAAAGCTTTTGTTTGTGCTTAAGAATGAATGAGAGAAATTTTAAGAACTTTGTGAGTATGTGAGCATGAAAGTTGTATTCAGAATTGTGTATGCAAAAACAAGTCATAGAACACCTATTTATAGTGTTTAATTCGTGCACATGAACCAGTATGAGTTTGTGAAAAGTTAAGAGCTACATCAGTTCAATCAAAACAGAACCAATATATTGTTCTGGTATGTGTAATCGATTACCATATGGTGTAATCGATTACACCAGTTAAAAATTTTAAAATACAAACTCAACGTATTTATGTAATCGATTACCAAGTATAGTGTAATCGATTACATTATGAAAAATGCACATATCTGATGCTTTTAATATGTTGTAATTGATTACTAGTATAGAGTGATCGATTACATCATGGAAAATACACAGGTCTGATGAGTTTATCAACCTGTAATCGATTACCAGGATAGTGTAATCGATTACACTGTTTAAAAACAGAACACTTATGCTTTAGTGCAAATGATCCTAGTTTTTATGCATGAGTTTTTCAGAGATCAACCTTTATCGTATAGTTAAAAGATTTTAAGTTTAAGTATCGTTTTACCTATAAGACTTAGACTACACACTAGAGCTTCTTTGACTTTTGATTTTCTAGTCTTCTTTTTGAATTTGATGACATAATGAGCATCATCAAAACCTTAGCCATAGGTGTCTTGAGGCCATAGTTAGGATTTTAGGAGAAAATTACCTAAACTTAGCCATAGGTGTACTTGAGAGTCCAGTACTGGAGAAGAATCCTATTCGGAGAAGTTACTATTGTGTGGGAGAGAGAAAGGGGAATGTATTGAGGTGAGAGAAAACTTGTGAAAACTATGAATGAAAAATTAAATATAGCATTTTACACATGTCAAATCCTAATTGGATGACACAAGAATAGGGGCAAGATTATGGGACGACTGATCCTCCTCCCCACAAAAATAGATATGCATAAATTTTTGTGTTCACTAGTGATTACTAGCGGGTAACGACTAACTTGCCAATGAGAAGTTATTTCGCTTAGATGCGAACTGATTTCTTTGTCGTTGGATGATACTATGTTTAATCTCAGCCGTTGATTTGATGACTAGGAACCTGCCAAGTTTAGAAGTCGATTTAGGCTTGGATG